TCAACGATATTTATTCGTGGTTTTTAAAACTCTTGGAATAATATTTTCAAAATGTATTTTTAGAATAATTAATTCGTCAAGTAGAGTACGTTCACTCGTGAACATATTATACAAGCATTCACTTGCAAATCTTGTTTTATGTTCCTCGAGTGGAGATAAAATTAAAATAAGATACGAATCGATAATAAAGTACGCAGCTATTCATTTTGCACGGTAAAAATTTGCCCCGTATCTATCCATATTTTCTAAAAATTTGACAGGACGACTCGTCTCATTGAAAAGAATTTTTTTTTGTACATGTACGAATCTTCGATAATTTGAATGTAACAAAAAATATTTGTACAATATGAAGAGACGCGTTTTTGTACAGCCGATATTATTTTGTTCACGAATCGGTTTCCCGATTATTGCATGTTAAGAGCACGATGTGTATATGGTAGTAGATATGCGGACACTTATTGCCACATATCGTATATTGGCGTACTTTCTTTAAATCGCATAATGGATTCGGTCGCAACACAGAGTCGGACCAACCGCAATACGCAATACAGCTGTGCAAGAGATCTTTATAAAAGATATAAATACGAGACGTATCAAACATGACGAAACAGTTAAGAAAAATAACAGAAGCGACTAAGTACTATTTAATTTAAGTCATTAGAAAATTAATTGCTTTCTAAATTGCAAACTTTACGCATTTAAGTTCAACAATTTCAAACTCTTAGGTTCAGCATTTTTTGTCAACACATTAAAATATCTTATTTTTCCAAATAATATTTTACTCACCAGTTTGTAAAGTCATGCGTCCGCTAATCCCGCTGTTGCGTTAACTTTCAGGTGCAGTTCTTCGTGGTGTTTGTGCATAGCGCGCAGGCTCTCGTCTTTGATTGCGGTTATCCAAAACTGGTGGCGACCCTTCTGCTACTTCACTCGACGATCTTCATCGTGCTCTTCTCGGACTTTTACAGAACTGCTTATCGTAGAAAATTCACGAAGGAGCTCAAGGCTGAATAAAACACACGTGGGACACATGGAAGGGAAAACCTTCGTTCGGATGCCGAACAAAAAACACACACACATGTCGTGTATTTGTCCAAATGTGACTTCTAACACCAGCGATCTGACTTCGAAAGCCCGCCCTTACGCTCGTCAATATATCGAGAAAAAAATTATTACACAAAAAAAAAATTCATAAAAATGCAGGCATCAGTAAACTATAATAGGAAATTCTAAGTAAGCGCGATAAAGATATCATAATTTTTCGTATACTCTAAAAGCGACGGGATTATCAAATCAAGTCGGCAAAGAGAAAGGTGTCTGTCCGCCGAAACAATTTATAATCCACGTGTATCGCAGCTAAAAAAGCGCAAGTGATGAAAAAGAGAAAGATTTAACGATGACAAGAGAAACTGATAAATGAAATAGAAGTGTCAGTCGGCCAATAGGCTAATGTTTGCACCGGACTCTCGTATCCGTTTAGTTGGAAAAATGTAATAAAAAAAATCTAGGATAAAATAGAAAAAGAGAAATATTATAAGAGTTGAAAATTCTTCTTTTTATACAACAAACGATGATCAAATGTGATTATTTTAAATCATTTTTCCAGACATAAACCATATTGGCTTTCGACACGTTGCGTTAGATCATCCCGATAGACAATCGAGGTCACAACGTTTCACTGGTGTCGAGCATAAATTGCTTCCGTAAGGAAGAGGGTTCTTATTTTCATTGTTACTCTCGATATCTTTCACACAGGACACTTCAGGTCCGCGCACACTTTGGACCGGCGCTTCTTAAACACCGGCCAATTTTTAAATGTCACCTTCATCATTTTTCGATTGGTCTCTATTGCTCAAGTTATTTTTTAATTTAGAGAAAACACATTTTACAACAAGCAAACACATGAATAAAACATAATAAATTATAATATTAAAGATATCTGGAATTTGAAGTCATAATATAGTCGATAAGCGCGAAGAGTGGTACGCGCACATGAGACGAAATAATAATAATAAAATGTGACTGGGAAAGTTACATTGGGCAATACGGAGTTAAAGAGCATTCTGCGTATGCCACATTAGAATATTGTGCCAAGTGTGGTCATGTTTCAGAAACTCGGAGTCGTCGTATATCGAGCATATACCAATCGGTCCTCAGTGTCGTAATTTACTTATCGCTTCATAAAAGTTACTACATTTCATCAATTCCATAGAATTAATGTAAATATAAAAGTAGTTAAACGCGCGCTTGTGGAGATGTCTCTAGTAAATTGCTAGAAAATTTCTTTCAATCCATGAATATAAACTGTAAAGTGTACTTTGAGAAATTATAACGCGAATGCTTTTGATCTGCAATATTGTTTTCTGTATATTTTTAATCTTGTGTGGAATCCTTTCGAAAACTAAAATCTCACTTTCGCAAGTGTTTCTATTCCATTGCGCTTACGAAAAAAATTATCACTATATTATATTTATTTTAATAATAAAAAAAAATTTCATTCTCACACAACACAAAAAATCCCAACCAAAGCATTTCACAGTGTAAATATCGTATGGTCTATTTGTTATCATATCAATATTTTGTGAATCTCCAACTTAATGCAGTTCTATTTATAATAATTTATTAATTACTAAATATTTATTGATTTGTAAAACGCAGTGTATTATTCCATATGGAATGAAGATACAGAATAAAGGATTTTCGGTTTGGAAACAGTATCAATATAGAATCAAGCGATAAAGAATGAAACAAATGTTATATATTCGATATACGCATGATTCAGAAAGCAGTCAACGTGAAGTATTAAATTAATAATTTGAGACTGTTTTATATGCGATATTATTTTGTATAATTTATAATCCTGAAGCCGATCAATGTAAATCGAAGAAAGATATGTCGTAGAATCTGAGAAACTTATACATATATACATATTTGCATTGTATTTAAACTGTAATCGGAAAACGCGACCGCTGCTCTCAGCATTGGCATGAGATTTCGTGCCGTGTGAGAAATCGAGCGATCGGGAAACTACACGCTCGCCAATGCTGAAGAGACTCTCGGTTATACCGCAATGCGGTACGGATAATGGGTAGCTCGTATCGTTGCACCGAGGATCTAGCCACCTAAGATCTAGCAGTAAAATCTAACGAGAATGCAAACGATAATTTACGTATTCGTATCAGCGATGCACTCGTAATAAATCCCGTCTATTGAACGAATCTTTGCGACTGGCGACTTACTATAAACTTGAAACAAACGGATCTTGCAACACGTACCGGAATTGCACATTTATACATAGAGGGAACTTTAAATCGCTGTAGGATATGTTACTTTATCGTCTCGATTCAGGTCGAATTTAGCATTCTAGGAGGCACGGAGAGGCGATACAAAAGTATATTTATTTGATTTAATAGGAAATCCCCCTCCCCCGACACATTATGCTAATATTTCACCACTACCGTTATTGTACTTCCGTGGAATTGCATAGCGAGAGACGCGAGATGACGAATACCGCGAGTAAGCGACCGGCCCGGCGCGGAGACACGGCCCGAGAGGATCCGCGGACTCGCACGTCCGTGGCGCTTTCTATTTTATTGATTCTCTCAATAAAGCTGCGCAGCTGTAAAGAGCGCGCATCCTGCGCGCGTAATAGGTCGCGAACGCTACGACAGACGTCCACCGAAGACGTCGCGGCGGATTCTTTTTCAAGGTTTAAAAATTGTAATCAATGATAAGTTATTAAGTCTCCACGTGAGACGCTAATTTTACCTCCAATCTTAGGATTGCAGATTGCTGTGTACGCTGGCCGCGCGTGCGCCATCTTGTATATATTGTATCTCTTTTCTTTTTTATAACAATAAATAAAATATTAACTATAGATCTTACGCTTATTTCGATTCTCTTATTTCACATGTAAAAAAGAAATAATTTATCGAAGGTTTATTAAGTACGAAAATATGAATATTACGCAATCGTTCCAGATAAAATATACCAAAAAAATGTGATATATTGAAAATAGTTTTAATCATTTGTTATAAGTTATAGGTGTGTGATTCAAATAAATCACAAATAATAGTATCCACACTTATAACTTATAACAAATGATTAAAACTATTTTTAGCACAATATATCACATCATGTTTCTAAAGAAATTCCTGAAATAGTTTCGTGTACTTTAAACTAGCATAAATTTGATCTTAATTTAAAAGTTGTCAAGAATTATATTACATCACACTTATCAATTATTTCATAAATAATCTATTATTATACACTTTATTGATATAATGTATATACAATAGCTGAACATAATTCCACCTTTAAATATGTGCAGCCTAAATTACCAACGACAATAATCAAATTATTGAAATTCTATAGAAGACTCACGCTGCGGCTGCATTTTTCTGCTGTATCCT